CAAAAGACGGGAACGGCTGCAGCTGGAGTCGCCTGGAGCCTCCTGCCGGCCTGTGCCTGGCATTTGGGCTGGGCTCAGCGAGGACAGTTTTCGGAGCGCCACGGCCTGGCCTCTTCATGAAGATGGGCTTCACGGCCCCGCAGCTGGGATCTGAGGAGCATCCCGATTGGAGAGAACGGGAAAAGCAGCCGAGCTGGGTGGCCTTGTCCGAGCCGGCCCAGACCTCACTGAGCATCACACCTGCGCTCTCCATTGGTCCCGGCAGCCAGGAGCTCATCTGGCTCAAGGTGGTGTTGGGGGGGCGGGGGGGACATGGACCCCATCTCTTGGAGGGAGGTGAGACAAAGAATTGGGGAACCACATCTTAAAACCCCCCGTGACCACGAGTCAAGTGGTCAGCGTTTGCACCCCACGTGACACATTGCCAGGTGCTTTCGTGTACACCTCTGACGTGATCCTGAGATTGGGGTGAGGAGGCAGAGGTTCGGAGAACGTGCCCAGGGCTGGCTCCTCAGAGGCACCCAGCGGATCAAACCCCAAGCCCTTCAGTGCTCCAACCACTGAGCCACCAGCCAGGGCCCGAGGATTTTTCCCTGAGGCTGGCCGCCACCTGAAGTGCCTTGAGTATCCTCTGATGGGGGCTGCAGAGCAGAGCCTAAGTCAGGTTGCAGGTGAGGTCCTGGACCCACGGCAGGAGGCGACTGAGCAGAGACTGTCAGCCGGCCCTCCGGATGGCTCCCTGCTTTCTCCACAGTAATGAGTCCCCCTAGGGCCCCGGCCACCTAGCAGGGAGCTCCCTTTCCCAGCCATTCTCGCCGCGACGGTCACATGACTGAGCCTGTCAGGGGGAAGTGAGTGGAAGGGATGTGTCCAGGGCGCCGAAAGCAGCCCGATGCATCCTCTGCACGTGTTTCCCTGGTCCCTCCTGGGACCTGAACGTGGCTGTGGCTTCAACCTTCAACCTGGCTGTGGCTTCGACCTCGCCATGGTGACAAGACTGTGCAGGTGGAGCCTGAGTGACCGGGTGGAGCAGAGCCCCCTCTGGCCTTGCACTGCCCGGTACCTAAACCATGTCCAACCCGCTGGCCTCTCCCTCCAGATCAGCCCCCCCCAGCTGGCCCACTTACAATAGCTCTGGAGAGGAAGCAAGCTTTGCAATCAGATGTGGATTCAAGCCCAGATCTGCCACTTGGCTGTGCAACCCCGGGCAAGTGGCTTTACCTCTCTGAGCCTCTGCTTCCCTCATATGCAAAAAGGGATTCGGCATCCTTCTACATAGCTTTGCCATGAGGATCTAATGACAGGGTACCGGTAACAGACCCAGCACCGTGCTCGGTGCACAGTAGGTCTTCAACACAGGTCCGTTCCCGTTCCCTTCCCCCTTTCCCTTCCCCTGTTCCCGGCAGCTTTTGCCTCTGAGTCCTGGCTGGCCTCCCGTCAGCACACACATCCCCACCCCCACCCCCACCCAGCCAAGCTGTGACGCAGACGGAAGGTTTTTTTTCTTTTGAGTAAGTGGCAGGTTCAGGGAGGTGGAACAGAACGAGTACTTAGAATCTGCAGTGCAGAATTCTCTGAAATCAGACTTCCAGCGTTCCCTCCTTCGGGCCGGGAATTGAGTGGACTGCCCTGGGCTTGTCTCTGAAGAAGGGTCTCTCTCCCATGAGAAGCATTTATCTACAGTCTGATCCCACCCTCCATGCCAGGGCTAAGGAGAGATTTGCCGAGGAAATCTCTCTCTGCCAAAGCCCTTCGCCGGCTCACCCCACTCCAGGGCCGGAGTGTGGGATGCAGGGACCAGGGCCGGAGCAAGCGTGTTCTGTTTAGCAACGATCGGAATGCTGCGGGTTATGTAATCAGAATATTAATTCTCCCGTAGACAGCACAGGGCTGCGAGGGGCTGGGGGTGTGCGGTCTGGTCTGGCTGCCCTCCTCCCCGCCTCTCATTCAGAGTCGAACGGGCTGCTACCTGGGCGAGGACGGGACGCCCTTGGGGTCGCACAGGGAGGAGGTGGGCTGGCTGGGCGGGGGGCAGGTGGTGGGGGGATGCCGTGGGAGGCTCACTCTGGTGCACCCCTGTTCAGGGCATCCAGAGGGGCAGAGGGAGAAACCAGGTGTGGGAACGCATCAGAGCGACTTGCCTCCCACACCGATCTCCCTAGGCTGGGGTGGGCCAAGGATGGAGGGGCAGGGCTCCTGGGTGGGCAGAGGTGGGAAGCCCTCCCCTGCTCCCTGCCCCCAGGGTCACCTGGTTTTGCCTCCACCACAGCCGGGGGCACACCTTGCTTTGTGAGTGGGCAGGCAGGGGTTCCCACTCTGGCTCCCGAGCTCCCTGCACACAGGGGCCTGCCCTGCCTCTCTGCGCACAGGTAGGTGCAGGGCCCGGCCTGCCCTCCGACCCCAGGCCTTGCACTGACATGCAGGGGCCTTTGCTGATGGTCAGCAGCACAGACCCGCCTGCAACTCTGATTTAAATCCTTTCCTCGGCCACAGGGAGCTCAATGGCCTCTGGTGTGGGCTCCCCAACCTGCCACCTCCCCAGCTCTGCCTTCTTGTTTCTCCTGGAGCTGAAGACCTGAGGGTGGAAGGCAGGCAGCCGCCTCGGCCCGCTCCCTCCCCCCACCCCCACCCCACCCCCCCGTCCCTAGACAGGACCAGGTCCAAGGTGGCTCGCTCAGGGTTGTACCAGGACAAGACCTTCTCCCTCCTCCCTCTCCTTCCACCTGCCACCCAACCCCTGCCCCGTCTCATTGCCCAGGAGGACACACTCTGCTGGTCCAGAAAGTCATACGTCTTATCAACCATGCACAGACCTGGGCAGTGTCCTGCCCGCAAGGGCTGACCGCCCAAGTGGTGACTCTTTCTCTCGGACCTGTCCAGGCCACAGGAGGGTTCAGCAGCATCCCTAACCTCCGCCCACCAGAGGCCAGGAGCACGACACCCCTCCCCCACCCAGTTCCTAGCCACTGCCAAATGCCCCTGGGGGCAAAACCCAGGCTCTACAGGAGCCACACGGAACTCAAATACGGTGACACCAACAGGCTGACAGTCCACCTGGCCACCCCTCTAGACAGACGCTCAGCACCCGCACCGGTCCCAAGAGGACCTGGGCTAGGAGAGGCTTGGAATTTATGCCTCCTCTCCCCCCACACCCTTAACCTTGAAGACACACAGAGCGAGGACCCCTGCAGGTCCCACTCGGGGAGGGAAAGGCCAGCTGTGGTGGGAAGAGGCCACCTCCGCTTGGAAGCACACATGGTCAAGGACACAGCTTACAAACAAACCCATTTTAATGGAGAGAACGCACAGAGATCCAGGCACGACCAGACCACACACCTCTCCTGGCCAAGGTGTCGGGAGATTCGGGGAGGGGATGGGCAGGAGCACAGATGCAGGTCGGGGCCGCTGCAGGGGCCAGGGTGGGGGTGGAGGGTGTGCAGAGCTGAGTCTAGGGCTTGTGTGTATGTGTTCACATGTGTGTACACTGCATATGTGAACACAATGCACACCGAACCTACAGGAGGTCTCAGAGGCAGCATGAGGAGAGCACACACATCAGGGTGTGTGCTGAATGCCCAGACCTAGCCCTGTGTCTGCCACGCATAGACTTGCTGTGTGACCTCGGGCACGTTGCTTACCCAATCGGTGCCTTGGAAAGAGTCACTAGATGGTTATTAAGGTCCTTTGTGGCCCTAACCATCCATGTTTTCAGGAGATTAAAATACGAAGTGCACGTAAGAGCTGATGACGAGCGCGTTTGGTCTGGAGGTTCAAATCCCAGCAGGCCTGGTACCCAGGATTGCCCCCTTCCAGACCTGAGAAAAAGACCCACCCGGAGCCTTTCCACTGGCTTCTCCCCGGCTCGGCTCCGGCTCAGGCTGCTCCTCTGAGCCTCCCACCGGCTGTGTGTGAGGAAGGCAGTGGGACAGCAGGGGCGGGCGGAGGCGGGGCGGGTGAGGGGAAGGCGGCCAGGACTGGGGAAGGCCCTGGCCTTGGGGTCATAAAGTGCATCACTCACCCTGTTTCCAGCACACAGTGGACCCAGCACCAAGGACAGCCTGGTTCTAGAGGGACCTCTGTCCTCCTGAACTAGTGGCTGGGGGGGGGGGGGGAGGAGTGCAGGGGGAGGTTTAGGGGTACTGGGGCAGAAGCGACCCGGCCCGGCTCAAGCGAGTGTGAACTGTAAGGCTCCGATGGAGGGCGGTGTCCAGCTGCAGATGGGCTCCGGAACCCCATCGGGGCGCGGGGGAGGCAGTGGACATGAACTGGGCGGCAGCCTGGCCAATGAGGGGTCACTAGGCTTTCACAGTACGAGGGTTTCATTCCTACGCTACACACGATGGGAGAACAGCTGTGACAACACAGTAAACCAGCAGACGGGGGGCGGGGGGGCCTGGGAGGGAAGGTGGAGGGAAGCAGGGTCCCGGGGGTGGATGTGGCCCCAGAGACATGGCCGCACCCCCTTCACACACACACATGCCCCTGTCTGGGGCAGCCAGGGCCCACGTGGGGGGCAGGGGTAGAAACAGCTGAGCCGGAAGGCAGGAGTGTCAGAACTGGGCGTGCCGGGGAGGAGGGGGGCTGGGTCTCCCGCCAGGACGACCGAGCTCTCCCAGCTGCTCCGGGTGCTGTTTTCATCCCGTCACCGTCCCAGGAGGCCCCGTGGGAGGCAGGGGTCCTGGCATCAGTTTTCTTAGGACCCAAGGGCCGGAAGACTCGACGTGGGTCCCTGAATCAAGTCCAGCTGTCGTGTCCTGCTCCACGGAGATCAGTCCCCGCCCGGCGGAGCTGGGACCGGGACCGGGGGAGGGGGGGGGGGGGGAGGAATCCGTGGAATCAGAGGGAGGAGGCAGGAAGGCAAGAGAAGGTTCAGAGGTTCAAGGCTGGGGTCCTCCAGTCTGGTGCCAATGATTGGGGGGGACCCTTGGGGGATGCGGGCACTGGGGCCGCCTCTCGTCAGGCACAGCCCGAGCCCCACCCCGGCGTCCCGTCCCTCCCGCTCACTGGATGGTGCATTTGTCCCGCTCCCGGGCCTGGCCCTCCCGGAGGACCTTGGCCTTGATGTACTTGAGGTCACTGTTGACGCTGGGGCGGCGGGCGAAGGGCGACACCATGCCGTAGGCGTCCGTCTCCTTGACCCGGCGCATGCAGAAGGGCCGGGGGTGGAAGGCGTCGCCGTACTGCACGGAGATCTTGCGATGCAGCGCGGGGCTCATCTCGTGCGGCAGCTTGGCCATGCTGAACAGCACGTAGAACATCTCGTCCACGTTGGTGTTCTTCTTGGCCGACACCTCGAAGTAGGCGCAGTTCTCGTCGCCCGACACCAGCAGCTCGGCCTCGGTGGCCGGCACCTGGCGGCACAGCTCGCCGTGGTCGTTCTTGTTGCCGCAGATGACCATGGGCAGCTCGGCCGCCTCCTTGGTCTTGTTCTTCAGGCAGGACTTGACCTCCAGGATCTGCTTCTGCAGCCGCTTCACCTCGTCGAAGGACTCCCGGCTGTCCAGGCTGAACACCAGGATGAAGACGTCCCCTGTGGGGAGAGAGAGAGAGCGCCCAGGCGGTGAGCAAGCGGGCGGCTCCCAAAGGCCCCACTGCCCTCTCCCCCCGCCCCCAGGAGGCCACGCGGCCCATCGGGGGCACAGCCTGGTTCCTTCACCCCCGTGTCCCTGCAGGGCTGAGTGACGTACTCGCTCGTGGGGGTGGTGGTAGAATAACATAAATACAATGTCCACGGTGGGGAGGCGTCCTGCCGGTCTGGTTCATTGCACAGCCCAGGCCGGGAGCTGCACCTCACGCACAGCAGGCACTCGGTGCGGCATCGGGTGGCCTAGGGGTGCATCTTGCCTCCTCCACTCACAGCCATCTGACCTTCGGGGGGGCCACACGACCTCTCCAGATCTCGTTTCCCATCTGCCCCGTGGGATGACCTTGAGGGTCCCCGGAGATGGCTGCAGTGACACCGGCCCGTGGTCTTGGGTACCACAACGATAATGAGAACAGGCACCTTCAGGAAGCAGGCACGGGCCACACACTCCATGCCCACTGTTCCCTGGGTCCTTACGAGACCTCTGTGAGGTGTGCTATCTTCGTGGTCCAGGTGTGCAAACTGCGGCTCAGACAGGGCGAGCAGCCAACCCCAGATCCCACAGCTCCATGCGGCCAGGCCAAGATGGCGGCCCAAGTCTGTCCTCACCTAGCCAGTGCCCAGCACACAGGAGGTGCTCTCTGCGTCTCGAATAAATCTTGGAGAATAAGCGATGCCCTAACCGGTTTGGCTCAGTGGATAGAGCGTCGGCCTGCGGACTGAAAGGTCCCAGGTTCGATTACAGTCAAGGGCTTGTACCTTGGTTGTGGGCACATCCCTATTAGGGGGTGTGCAGAAGGCAGCTGGCCAATTGTTTCTCTCTCGTTGATGATTCTAACTCTCTATCCCTCTCCCTTTCTCTCTGTAAAAAATCAATTAAAAAATATTTTTAAAAAAAGAATAAGCGAGTGCTGGCCGCCAAGGGCTACCCTATCCCTAGTCCGGCTCACGGCATCACTGGAGACCTTGAGTCTGAAACAAGGACGATGTGGAGGTGGCTGGCAGAGAGGACTGCCACCTTCATCCCGATTTCCAGATCTTCCCACAGCGATCGCCGCCTCACACTCACAAAGCCGCCCTCACTCTGGTGAGATGTCAAGATCCCTGCTTCCCGGATGTGGGACCTGAGGCTCAGGGGTGGCATTCCTGAGAGGAGAAGAAGCGGCTCCAGACCTGGTGGCGGCCGCCCATCCCTCTGCACCCAGAGCACATGCCCGTCCCCACGGTGGCACGTGTCACACTCAGAACTGTGCACCGGCAACGGTGTGCTCTGAACAGTGAGCTCGGAGGAAGGGGGCCTCCTCACCCTCACCTCCTCACCTCCCTCCCAGGCCCGGCACACGGGGGTGCTCACCAAGCCGGCTGGATGGATGCGACGGATGGGATGGGATGGAATGGGATGGGATGAATGACGGTGTGGGCTGTTTAGAAAAGCACTTGCCAGGCAGTACCAGCCTGGCAGCCGATTCCACTTGGGCTGCCAACCCCGTCCCATTAGGCTAATCCGGGCCCCTGAGGATTCGGCAGCCTCGACACATTCACATGCAAGGCTGCGCCAGGCTGCAGAGGCAGCCAGCCGGGGCGGCAGCGGAATGGATGGTTCTGTGTCTGTGCACCAGCACCAGGTTGAAAAAGGAGGCGCGGACAGGGTGAGTGGAACGGGGCGAGCAGCAGGCAGATGTGCTCGGAATGGTATATGCACGTGAAAGGGCAGCAGGCGAAAATGCTCTCTGTTACACGGGGATTCAAACAGGAATGCTAATGGGTCCATGGGGGAGGACCGGGAGGGTCCACCCACTTTGAGGGGTGGCCACCTCCAGGCGGGACAGGGTTTGGGGAAGGGGACGTGAGTCGAGGCGGCTTTGTGGCCTGGGCTATATGGTTAAAGGAGGGTGTGTGTGTATAGATACACTGTTTGTGTCGTTAAAGATGGATTTTGAAAACATGCCTGTGGTGGCTCTCTGCAGCTCCCCTTCTCCCTGCCTCAGACGTCAGCCTGGCTACATGGGTGGGCACCCCGGCCCCTCCCTGAGGCCTGACAGTCCAGCAGTATCCACCGTGAGCCAGAGGTGCCCCCATGCGCTTTCCTCCGTTCCTCTCAGCCTCTCTGGGACGAGGCAAGGTTCTGCTGGAGCAGCTGGCAAGACTGCGATTCAGGCCTCCAGTCACATGCCCCAAAGGTGGAGCCAGGACTCGAATCCAGGTCCACCCAGGGCTCTTTCTATTCACACACTGCCTCTCCGAAATATGGACTCTTTCACCCCAAGTCTGGCACCCCAAGAGGGGGCCTGAGCAGGGTGTGGGGGGAGGGGAGGGTGGGCATGACCTGAAGTGGGCTTCTCGGTGCAGAAGCATCTGACTGGAGGGTTACTGTCGGTGACTGGGGAGGGGGTTACTTGCTCATTCCTTCCCTTCATCCCGCCGAGCGATGGGCGGGCATGGCCTGGGACGTGCCTCCGCAGCAATGCTTTCCTTCCCACCGACAGTCCCTGAGCACCTGCTCTCTGCTCACCCAGCGCTGCTCCTCGTGTGTTAACTCCTTTCCTTCTCACAATGGCCTTGGGGATGGGTGCTAACGTGATGCCAACAACCGACAGGAAAGTGAAGCACAAAGAGATCAAGTCTATACCCAGCACTAATCCAGGAAGCGGGGGGACCAGATTTGGACCCCAGCAGCCTCGTCTCTAGGCCTGCCCCCTTCGTTACCCCCTGAAACTGCTGGCGTCATGTGAGTGACGGCTCCGCCCCCATCTCCACTTGCCCCTTCATCCCCAACCATCGCCCTCTCCCTCCGACCAGATAGCTTAGTGGTCTAGCACGAGACAGACTTCCGGTTATCGGCTGTGCTACCACCCAGTGTAACTGAACCTCCCTGGGCCTTGGTTTCCCCACCTGGAACACAGAGGCGAATACCCATCTCCTAGGCTAGCGGTGAGGGTTAAATAAACGAATGCTGAACCCTAAGACTGTGGGCCCAGACACACAGCCCTTAATAAGTGTTAGCGATCGCCACCACCGTTACTGTCATTCCTACTGAGCCCCTAGCATGGCTGGCCCTCACCAGGCTCCTGTTCTTACCACTCTGAGAGGGGGCAAAGGGCACGGGAGGTCAAGAGCCCGGAGCCCAGCAGACTGGCCATGGGCCCCCGAGCTCCACGGAACCACCTCCTGCAGGGGGAAGGCGGCAGTCCCTCTGTTCCCGGGAGAGGGACTCCCCAGCCCGTCTGTCAGCTCCAGGTCAGGAAGGCAGCTCCGGGGGACATGAGCAATATGGGTCCAGAGGTGCACAGAATGGAATCTGGGCCTTGGCACCGACATCCGCTCAGACAAGCAGCAATGCCAGTGTGACCTGCATGGCGCACGGGGCCAGCTGTGGCCTTGATCTCAGACGATGAGTGAGCACAGACGCCCACACGCACACCCCCACGCCCGCCCGGGCACCCACCTGTGAGGATGGAGAGCCGGCGCATGGCGGGGAAGGGGTGGTTGCCGGACGTGTCCAGGATGTCCAGCTGGTACATGTCCCCGCGGATGTTGTAGACCTTGCGGTGGAAGTCCTCGATGGTGGGCGTGTACTGGTCCTCGAAGCGGCCATTGAGGAAGCGGGAGACGATGGAGCTCTTGCCCACACGCGAGGCGCCCAGCACCACCATGCGGTACGAGTTCTTGGCGGGCACGCTGAACGTGCAGTTTCCGCTGGACAGGGTCTTCATCATGGCTCGGGGCTGCGACAGAGAGCGGGGAGCAGGCGTCAGCAGGCCCCGGAGGCAGCCCGGCCGCCCCTCGCTGGAGGCCGTGGGCTCCTCGGCCCGGCTCCTGACCAGGTCTCAGTTTTCTGTCTGTGACATGGGGATGGTGGGCTAGGGTCTCTCTAAGCGGCTCTGGAGTTCTGCACAGTCATTTCTTCATACTCTCATGTCTTTCCTCCTTCACCCACCACCCACTCACTCACCCACCCACCTACTCACCCACCCTCTTACTCACTCACTCACTCATTGGCCCCTTATTCGTTCCAGCACCGACTGCGAGGGCTCAAACCCTCATTTAAAAAAAAAAAAAAAAAAAAATATATATATATATATATATATATATATATATATATATATATATTGATTTTTTACAGAGAGGAAGAGAGAGGGATAGAGAGTTAGAATCATCGATGAGAGAGAATCATCGATCAGCTGCCTCTTGCACACACCCCACTGGGGATGTGCCCGCAACCAAGGTACATGCCCTTGACCAGAATTAAACCCGGGACCTTTCAGTCTGCAGGCCGACGCTCTATCCACTGAGCCAAACTGGTTTTGGCTCAAACCCTCATTTTATTAATCACTCACTATTGCTCCTGGGCGAGTCGCCTACTTTTCTGAGAGTCACTCTTGTCATCTATAAAATGGACTCAACTCACATAGCTATTGTCAAGAGCTCGGCACAGAGCGAGATCTGAGATGTTGACTCGTTAGATTCCGTTCTCCCCCTGAGCCACCCGTCCCTCCTGTCTCGGGCCTCCCAGAAGCCTGCAGTTCCAGGACACAGCACGGGAAAGGCCGTGTCCAGACCACATCCTTCATGCCAGAGTGTGGGGCTGCCCGGAATTTTCTCCCCGGGCCCTGGGAGTCTGCCCCCCTCAGGACACCCAGGGACCTGGACTAGGCGATATGGGTCGGAGAAATGACCCATGAACAACTCAAGTCCTTCTAATTTCGAGCGTTTATGGTTCCAACACACCCAGAACTTTGCCTTGTGGATGAGGCTGAAATAAATCCGAGCTCCAAACTTCCGGGAGCTCCATCAGCCCCGGCAAAGGCCAGTCACAGCCCAGACACCCTCCTTTCCTATCTCAACTTCCATGACAATCCCCCCAGGACCCCTAAGCCTCCGTCACTCTAGCTGGTTCGAGCTCTGCTGAGATCTGCTGGGCTCCCCAGCTCAGGCTAGTCCCTCCCCCGGATCACCCCCTTCCTTGTATGTTTCAGGGTCTGGCTCAAATGCTACTCCCGTCTGAAGGCTGCTCGGACCCCTACCCACCCAGCAGGGATCCCTTCCTCTCTAGAGAAGAGGAACGAGAAATGGACACAGGCCCCTGAAATACTGACTTCCAGGCCTCCACACAGGGAGGTGCAGGCGGGGAAGACGGGGGCTCAGAGGAGTCACAAAGGGGTGGACGTGCTGGCTCCAGCCGCCCACCCCCGGATGCCCCAGGTCAGTGGCCTGGAGTGCCTCGCTCATGTGGTACACTCGAAGGCTCTCCCTGGCATCTCACTGCTCTGTCTGCCGTGAGGCCGAGACCCCAGGTGGAGACAGATCCTGTCACAGGTCTCCTGGCACACATCCCATTCAGGGGATCCAGGCATCCATCCTGCCCACTCAGCCGACGGACAGCCGCTGAGCAGTAAACCGACTCTCCAAAAATACCTTTTTAGAAAGCTCTAATTGCTAGCGCTTGTCTATTTCCATGGCTGATTCCAAGCGACCACCGTGATGTCAATGAATGACTTGCAAAGAGATGTGCCCAGAGAGGCTGCTCAGCACACCGCCCGCCCCTGGCCTGGAGCCAGGATAACCATCACCCTAACCAAGCCCCTGCCGTGTGCCAGGCACTGTGCTGAGTGTAGACGAATAACAGCTGGCATGTATTTTGCAGTTAATAAATTCCAGAATGTCCCAAGTGATGAGAGCGCGTCCTAACCCCCTTCACCCCTCAGTAATCCCGGAGGGCAGGGGGAGGTATCCCGTCGTACGGAGGAGGGCACTGAAATACAGGGGAGCTTAGTAACTCACTGCTAGTTACACAGCCTGCCTGCCAGCATGAAGGAGGGACGGACCACAAGCAGTCTGCTCAGCGCTATGAAGTCTCCTCACCACCTCCCTCCGAAGCACCTGTTATCGTCCTCGTTTCACAAATAAGGACCCCAGTGCTTAAAAGCTACGTGACTGGCCCCCGAGTTAATAAGGGGGCCAAGCTAAGGCCCCCAGGTCCCCCACCTTATTCATGTCTGAAGCCATCTTTCAATGTATCCCATAGGATTCCAGTGCCGTGTACTCAGCTGGCGTCAATAAGTGAGCCATGAAGGAATGAATGAAGCAAATGGCTCTGCCTCTGGGCCTTCTTCCTCCACCCCCGCCCTGCCTGGCTGGCCAGGGGGCTGTGACAAGGAGGGTCTCAGGCACAGGTGGGCAGTGGGGAGCCGGGGATACAGGATCCACAGCAGTGGACCCTTCTCGGTCTCCTTCGGGGCTGTGAGTCAGCCTGGGCCTCCAGCAGAGATGGGGGGAAGAGGTCCCACACCAGGTATCCCGCTCCCCAAGTCCCTCCCGCAGGGAGCGGGGCTGCTGGTGGTCACCTCTGTCTAGACTGAGAGGGAAGGCAGCCAGCAGTCCCCAGGAACAGTGTTTGTCTCTATCACCACCGACCCAGCCTCTACCCCTAGGGCTCCTCTTACGGACATGCTGATATCAGTGACTGGATGGGCCAAGGCCCAGAGAGAGAGAGGCAGGGAGTCAGAGAGAGGAGGCAGGAGAGAGGAGACAATAAGTCAGAGAGAGGAGGCAGGGGCTCCGAGAGAGGAGAGAGAAAGAGGAGGCAGGGAATCAGAGAGAGGAGGGAATCAGAGGAAGGAGGCAGGGAGAGGCAAACAAGGAGAGGGAAAATCTGGGGCTTTCTTTGAGAGAAGATTGTGGGCCTTCACGTGGCCTCAACCACGTGAGGCTGCGTGAGGATCACAGACACCTGGATGCCAGGTGACAGCGCCTCTGTGGGCTCCGCCTCCCGCCTCCATCCCTCCCTGCTCCTCCCCCAGAGGAGGAGCTGCGGGCAGTGCTGTGGGCTCAGCTTCTCTGCTGCGCTGCCTGCTCCCCTCTACCCTCAGCCAGGCTGACACCCACACAGTGAGGAGGAGACGAGTCAGGGTTCAACGCTTTTCGAACTGACAGTCCACCTGGTGGTTCAAGGGGCCAGATCGCAGCTGCGTGAGTCCCCGAATGCAGTTCTGTGACTTGCAGACCCCGCACTCCAGGGCCATTCTAAAGGCACCTGGCAGGCAGGAAGGCCGAAGCAGAGGTGGGAAGTCACCTCAGCCACTGGGTATTTGGGGTACCGTATTCCAATGACTTCACCACAGCCCCGCGAAGAGGGGACCACCATCGACTGGTTTCCGGTTCGCAGAGGCTGGCTGGGCCGGGATTAACGTCAGGCCGCTGGCGCCAAAACCTGGGCTCTGCCCACCGTGAAGACCCACCCCAGACTCGACCGAAGCCTCTCACAATAGTCAGTGATTCGGGGAAGCCTCGCTGGGGTCTGGCAGGGGAAATGACCCCAGGGACCTATTCCAGTCTCCTTGCCTCTCCCTGAGGGAATCCTCTCACCCTGCCCCGGCTCTCCAGCAAACCCTGCTCCAGCTCCCAGCACATGCATGGATGGGCTCGCCCTTCTCCCTGGAGCCCCTCCCCCAGGGCCTGCCTGGAAGACGGAGGTCAGGTGACAAGGACCGCAGGATGAGAGTGTGGCCGTGGCCGCCTCCCTGTGAGCACCCAGAGCTCCGTCTCTGCCCTGCCCCCCCTCCTCCCACACACCTCGAGCCTCCTCCCTCCTCTAGGGCATGGCTCGGCCTCTCTGGACACCCGGATTCGCCAGCCTCCGTGCCCACACTGAGATGGGTCCTGGGGGTTTTGCAAAGCCGACCTCACCACCCTCGGTGGCTCAGGATGGAGGAAAGCAGGCAGGCAGGCAGCTCCGGCCAGCAAACCAGCTCTGTCATGCACCAGCTCAGCGACCTTGGGCAAAGGGCCTGGCCCGAGCTCCTGGCACACGGCAAACGGGTTCCTAACTTTGTGGCGTTCCTGCGTGGTCAAGGGGCTTTTGGAGCAGCCACTGGGGTGGGACTGGAGAGCAGGCAGAGGTTTGGGGGACCCCCCACTCCTGTCTTGTCTCCCTGATGCCAGGGGAAGCCTGAATCCTGCTCCTGGGCTCCTGAGCTGGCTGCCCTCTCCAGCCTGGCCTCCTGCCTCCCAGGAGGCCCTGTACAATATCCTTCCTCCTCCTCCTCCTCCCAGGGCTGGGGGCAAAGAGGAGAGGTCCGAGGGAGCCCCACTGAGGTGCTTGGGGTCTCCCCCTGGCCAGCTGCGTACAGGACACCCACCCTGGCAAGGGAGTCACTCAGGAAACTCACTCCTTGCACCAACCCAGAGAAAGCTCAAGGAGCTCTGTGCAAGGAAGGTGCTCCTCATCCTCCCTCCTCAGAGGGGGTACTCCTCGGGGCTGGAGCGGAGGGCGCCTCAGAAGGACCACATCCCAGCCCCACCCTCCTTCCAGGTGTGCAAACAGCTGGCTTGGGAAAGAGGGGGGGCATGGGGGACGTAAGTACCCCTTCCTGAACCCTGAGAACCGGTTCCCTCCTATTTAAAGGGGCTCTTCCATGGAAGCTTCTAGCACCAATGGGTAAGCATAGAAGTTCGATAAGTTTTTCTTACCAGGCACAAATAGGGGGCCTCGCAGCCGGCCTGGCACAAAGCAGGTGCTCAGCTAACTTCATTCTCTCCAGATGTGCCAAGTTGCCGATGAACCGGGCACAGTCCGTCGTTCTATGGGGCTCACCATGCCAGGCTCCACCTGGCCTCCCCGCCTCACAATCCGCAAACCTTTCTGCCTGGCTTCACCCCTTCCCCAGATCCCCGTTTCTGCCGGCGGGAGTCTCTCTCCTACCTGCGGAGGGCGGTT